TGGCCGAGGCCCTGCGCGAGGCCCTGCCAGAGGCCCCGCCAGAGGTTTGGCCCCTGCACGGGCGACGCTATAGCCGCTGATTGCGTTGCGCGCCTTGCAGAACAAACGGCGCGTCGGCGGCGCCGATGTTTTAATTTTGTTTTTGTTTCTCTGCCGCCCGCGCACTTGAAAATATTTTTAATTCCTCTATCGTGCTGTTGCTGCGGCTAGCTATAATACGTCTTGTGGAATATTTGGTCCGAGGGCGTGGTTAGAGGGAGAAAGAGAGATGTGTTGGCGTTCCTGTGCTGTGGCTGCCCCGGGTACCCCGCAGGGACCGAGGTGGCTAAAAGTCCTCCTCCACCGCCCCTCCACCTCCCACTCCCGAACGCCCGAGGCCCGGTGGGAGAGGTAAACTGGGCGTTTTTAAGTGACACTCATTATCAGCCCGTAAGTTACCGGTGTTTGCGCCGTATCGAGCCTGCCGTGGGTCCCCAGAGGTGCGGAGGTGCGGGCGCTCCAGCTCGGCAAACCCGCCCTCGAAAGGGGAGGAGGGAGGAGGGGCCAGACGAGAGGGGAAGAGGCGTGCCAATCTGCAGGCTTGCGGGAGTTCAACTATAAAATCTGCGAAGCTGGTAATTTTTCGTCACCACCTTCAATGCGTAGCTCAGAATGTAAGGTTTTTAAAGTTGACCGATAAACCTAAACTCTCACGACTTTTTTGGAGGCCGCCAAAAAAATAACCTTGAATGGCCCGGCAGTTGGATATAATTTTCTTAATGCTAGTGCCAATGCTTGTTTACTTTTGCAATAATGTTCATCGCCTATGTTTCGGCAGTTGTTCGTTGGCTTTCCCGTAGAACAGTGGGTGCCGTCCGCTCAGCACGCGGGTACGTTGCACCCTAATAAGTGCAGCCGCGTCGGGCCGTCATCCCCATCCCCTGCCGAGCCGAGGCGCCCCCGCTGGCCGCTCAGGCTTTGAAGTTTGGAAAGGCTTCTGGCTGGACACGTTTTATTACGGCGCAAGCAAGCAAGCAGCAGTACAGCAGGGGGGCCGGCGGGTACACAGTCTGTTGACTTCGAACACAAGAGGGGCTCGTTACTGTCCACCGAGCCGTCTTAGCTTCCGCCGGCCCCATTCGGCCCCGGCCCGCCCCGGCCGGCAGGGGGGCGCCGCGCCTCCCCCGGCCTCGCCGCGCCTCGCCACACCGCCGCTGCAAACTTTTTTAATGCCCGGCCCAGACCCCGCTGCTGCCTGTGTGTCGCGCGGACATCAGGACCGCGAGACGAGCCCGCGCCGCGCGCAGCTCCCGGCGGCGGCGGCGGCCGAGTCGGAGTCATTTGAATAAAAACTTTTAGGCGCCCCAAAACAAAGCGGCCGCGCAAATATGTTCTGCTGTTGCGGCCGGGCCTGGGCGGCTGGGCCGGCGGGCGGTGCGGGCGGACCGCCCCAGCACTAATGCATTTTCAGACAAGGAAGTAGTCGTCGTCGTGCCTCCTCCCCGAGTTTGAGTTGGAGTGGTATTGATTATGCCGGTCGGGATAACTTTACATAATTTGATAAGGTTGCGTTTCGAGGGATCTGACATGGCCGGGGCTCTGCTGGGGGGCGGTTCGGGGAACAACAATGGAACCGGAGGGGCCGGGCTGGGCGGGGCTGGGCGGGGCTGGGCCGGGCGGCCTCATCTTGCTGGTTAGTTGGTCAATCCGCAGGCGGCCGGGGCCTCACTTAGTCGCTGCTCGCAAAGCTTGGAAGGAGAGAGGCGCGCGGCGAAAGTGGAGAACTGTAATGGGGCGGCGCGGGGGGAGAGGAAGGGGTGCAGGGGGCGCTTGTAACTCGAACCGCGGATGTTGTCGCCCCACGGGGGCCGCCCCTGTTGTTTCTCCCCCTCCCCGCCTTGGAGCCTCCACGGAGCCCGTCCAGTATCCCCGCTCGGCCCCCGCCCAGCCCAGCCCTTGGGTGCCCTGATGCTGTGATGTTGTCGACGTCTCGTCGTCCGAGTGTTTCCTTCTGCCTCTGCCTTGCTCTCTCTCTCCCTCTCTTCCTCCCTCCCTGTCTCTCTGCTTCTCATTCTCTCTATATCACTCTCGGCGCTCCCTTGCGTCCCTTGCACCCTTGCCCCTCTCTCTCCTCGTCTCCTCTCTTCTTCCTACTTCCACAACTCCAACTGCCGACAGCGTGCTGCTAACCGCATTTCGCCTAATTTGATGAACGTGAGGCAAATAAATTTGAAACGCCCTATTGCAGAGTCGTCTCTCTCTGTCTCTCTCTCTCTTTCTCTCTGTATGCGTGTGCGAGCGTCTTTGTGGTGTGCGGGCGACTTGGGGGTCCCTTTCCTCTCCCCCAGCGCCCCGCGCCTGTATAGGCTGGCCTGCTCATTACACATGTATCACACCCCGTATGACGGCGCCGCTCGCCTAAAAGGCCACCCCTCGCCTTAAATCACTGTGCCGTTGGTGGTTCTCGGCTTGAGGTTGGGGAAATGGGGGAAGGAGCGGTAGTCTGTGGACACACACTGGAGCAACCCGCCGCCGTCGTCGCCGCAAAGGGGTAGCCACACGACGACAAGGAGGAAGTTGAGAGAGGAATAAGGAGGATTGCAGCACCTCAAAGGTCGGCCCCTTGAATAAACTTAAGGCTCGCTTTTTCCCTATTGAATCAAAGGAGCCCACAACGATAGCCTGACCAGCATCGCGGAGCCCCCTTCGTTGCTAGAAAGTAAAGTCCAAGGTAGGCTGTGGGCTGCCTTGAAATGAGATGAGGAAAATATCTTCCTGATTCAACCTTGTGTCAAATGTTCTATTGACTTGTCTGAGTGAGGAATA